TACTATAGTGCAGAAAGTACAACTATAACAATAAAGATTATCACTGATTACACGGTTTTATCACTGTATTTGTATGTTTTCTTGTGTTCCCAATATTTCGGAACGGTTACACGTTCCAAAGTCACGGATTGACTGACCAGCGGCAGAGGACATCTATAAGAACAGACATATATGTCTAGCCTCTTTCGCGAAGTACCGGGACAATAAAAAACACCATACTATGGTAAGTACTGATAATCACTTAGTGAATAACCGCGATATATCTCTGTAATATAAATAATCTCTGTAATTATTACCTGGTCAAAATTAGGAAATACCATGTATAAGTCCCATAACAATGGAATTTACCAATTTTTTATTGTTTTATTTATTTATCCTTACAATGACATTTCTACGGACAAGGTTTTCCCAAACTTCGTAAATGTTTATCGTGAGAGTTTGGTTGCTACGTTTAATATTACAATCACATGAATCTTTCATTCAGTTACCAAAGTACAGTTTTCAATATTTACCTACATTGTATCTAACAAATATTTTTTTCTCTCATTTCGGAAGACTTTTTACTACCTCTGATATTTTTAAGTGCGACGGAAGACTGTTAAATAACTGTTGTAATAAAATATTTCTTAGTTCTTTTATTTTTATTTAGAAAAGTCATTTCCAATTCAAATTGGTCCTACTTTTTTTTTTTTTTTTTTTTTTTTTTTTTTATTGCGACTCGACAAAATGACTGCACCGCGCCTGATGGAAAGTGCGAATACAGTCCAGAGATGAGAGTAACGGATGGAAAACACAAATATCTTCACTCCGTCACTATCATTTTGCCGGTCTGGCCAAATGCACTGGATGTACACCAACTGATCCCTGAACGCGATTCGCAAAAGCGTTTCACTGTGGAGGGTTTTCCGCCGTGTGTACTGTGGTCGCTATCCAGTCGGCACAGAGCCTACCACAATGCTAAGCAGATGGACACTTGTGACGCCCTCGGTCGCCTCTTACGACCCCCACGGGCATGTATGGGGAGGCGACAATGTATTCTTAAGCCGTAAATACTACTATTGGATCTTGGCATCCAGAGTCCACAACGCAAGCCGTTGGATCACCGAGGTCGATCAGTTACAAGTTCATAATTATGATTAAAAAATAACTAAATATAAACCTAACAGCACCAACTAATAATTTGGATCACCGATGTTATTGAGGTTGTGCAGTAGCAGTAGAGGTCCTTGTGAAAGAGTTTGTCAAGGGAAGTACTGCCATAATACCTGCCTACCTACCTACTTCTGCCGCCAAGCACTAATGTGAGCATTACTTCTTTCTAGTTTAGAATCGTTGAACGCGTCTCAAGATGGAGCCTTGGCTCCATAGAGCATCTTGTCGTGCACGGCAGAGTAGAGGGCACTAGACTGCGCGGAAGGTGATCAATGCGATGGACCGGCCAAATAAAGTCTACTGCGTGGTAATTTGCATGAGTGCACGAGGGAGTCCACTAACAGGGAGAGACAGCGAGATAAAGTTGCCGCTGTAAAGTTTCCTGCTTAGCGGTGTTCTACAGGATATATCACGGAGAGTGTGCGAGGGAACTGCACGAATTAATTCCCCCTTCCCCTTTCCATCATCGGGGGACCAGACGTAGGCTGGGGTTCTACCCCTATATTGTAGACATTCCAAGGATTCGCACGAAGCGTTTTGCTTCCACATTCATATGGCAAACGGCTATGTAGTGGAATTCTCTGCCTGCAGACTTGTTCCCTGAACGTTATAACTTGAACCTTTTCAAGGCGAGAGTGAATAGTCATTATTAAGGGGTGCATGCTCCATCATCGACTTCATCGTCACTTTCCATCAGATGAGATGGTAGTCAAAATGGCACTTTTCTTTAATAAAAAGAAATATCGTAAGGCGAACCACATCAGCCCCTAATAAACATACTCCGTAATGACCACGACCGCGCTGTCAAGAGTGCAACGAAACAGAAGAAGAAGTTTAGAAGGGTTCAAAGCTAAGTTGTTGCTATAATTAATCTTAGTAGATCTATAACGTAATTTCATCATAATTTGAACTATACATAGAGGTGTATCTATGAAAGAGATTCAGCAGTAATTCACGACACAGAACGGTCCGGCCGACAGGAGCTTAAGCGGCTTATCGAGTCACCGGACCTGAACAACGTTACTTAGCTGCCATCATGCCAGGTGACAATAGGATTTACATCGCCTCATGTGCTGTATAAGGTTGTGTAGATTAATTTTCATATGACTGAACTTCAAGAAGTGTTTATTACTTATTCAATGATGGATAGATAAAAAGCTATTTCGAAATTTAGTATTTAACAGTTACATAATTATAGTTTTTTTTATGATTCCAATGGACGGGACTTGTTAGTTGGTTATCCTTTAAATCGCAAAGATCTGAGGGTCACTGCCACTGCGCCTGTCACTTTGAGACATAAGTTGACAAGTTTCATGTGCCTGTAATTTCACCAGCACCTACAAAACCAGGACGCAGTAAAGCTCACATTATTGCTTGGCGGCGGAAATAAGTTAGGTGGCAGTACTTCTTTGAAAGAACTCTTTCAAAGGAGTTTTAGTGCTAGAAAAAATTTTAGATACTGTACAAATATCCTTCAGAGTGCTGATGATTTGAAACTTGCGTTTGACAAAGTAGATAATACTGAAAATATTAAATATTATATTATTGGATACAGCACAAACAAAAAAATCCTTTGTTCCGACTGGACACGAACCAACGACAAATTGCCAAACAGGGGTTACCTTCGAAGAATTTTTTTTTATGATTGTTCGATGTTGGTATGAATAATAACAACAAACAAAAGGGGAATTTTTGCAAAAAAATTATATGAATATTATGGTAATAAAATCGTCATGATTTTCAATGAAATACATAATGATATACGTGTGGCAAGATTACTATATAATTTTAAAACTACAGCTAAAAAGTGTGTAAACGAATCACCTAATAGCATGGAACTAACTTCAATATGCATAAAAGAGCATTTCTTTACAAATTGTTTTAAAACTTGCATAGCATTATAACAAAGCGCTTGCACACTTGAGAGAAACTTTTAAAATATTTTTAAAGGCCTTGTATGCGGAGTTCGCGATGTAGAAGCTTAACAATTTGAGCATGAGAATTCGCGTTGGCGACATTTTTGGTGCATGAAATTCAGGGATGCGACGGCCGTTGCAGCTTTTCAAGTGAGTCAGTCAGAAGCTGTAGCGTATGGATTTATAAAGTGACTAAGATATTACAAGCTATGCAGATTTTATGGCACGTTGTAAGAAATTTTATCATTATAGAAGAAACCTTAGCTCAAAACAAACAAGAAACTGGAATGGAGACTCATAAAAATGATACATGGTGAGATGTGAGAAAATGATTTGGACCAGGCATCTTACTTATGAAACGACCTACCGCAGCTACAGGAAGTGCTAAACTGCTCTGTCGCTTGATAAATTTAAGTATTTGGTAAAGGATTGTTATTAATCACTTAGTTAAGTATTTATCATGCAAATTGTAATATTTTTTTATTTGCTGCTTGTGTTGTTTATTATGTTTCTCATTATAAGTAAATGAACTCATTTCTGTTCCCTTTCTGTATTTTAACCCATTATCCTTACAAGTCCATATCACCCTCTTCAATATTTATATCGTTTATGAATAAATATCATAAGCATATTCTATGTATTGTATATATATATATATATATATATATATATATATATATATAGATATATATTTAGTATTATGGTTATACATATGTATGTTATATAGTATGTTTTCTGATGTTTGCATTCGTGTAAATTCAATCGAATTTGTCCACCATTAACTGCCTTTCACCTGTGTTTGTAAATCCTTAATAATTTGCAAAATTGTCTAATAGAGATAGCTGTTTACCGATAAGGTCGCCGGTTATACCTTTCACTATGTATAGACATACATATACATAGGTATTGTATTCGTGGTTTTTTGTGCAACAGATCATATTCTCTTCTAATTATGATTTGGCGGCGTTGGTGGCACTCAATCGAAGGGCTTGGAGCTTGATTGGAATATAAAGTCGTGAAATCGTTTCAAGGACGCTCGAATCTTAAAATTTTTTAAAAACACGATATTGCAGACTACAATTTTTATCGCATCAAAATACGTTTCGCTTACTTTTTAGACCAAAAATTAAAGAGGGAACTTTTAACTATATTTTTCTTAAAGAGGATGTGCTATACAGGGTTTGAGACTGTTTTCAAAAATATTAGTGAGGTATTTTAATTTAGAAAATGATGTTAATTTTAATTTATATACTTATTGGCTTGTGTGGCAATTTTTCGTTTTTTGATGTTTCGTGTTTTGGCTTTAGAGTTAGTTGATGTATTGTCAGATTACAATTGAATTTGTTCGCTTTATCAACTACAGAACTGTCTTAAAGAACGTGCATGTCGGAAATTATTATAAATATTTTCAAGTATATGAATGAAGATCTAAGGCCTTTATTAGATTAGTGAAGAGGATAACGTTCATGGGGCCTACTATAGCCCTTTTATAGCAATTCTGATTTAGTCGTAGTTTTTACAAGTTTCGTTTTAAGTTTTATTACATTCTGAATTTCTTAGTTCTTTATTTCTGTCTAAATATTATTGGCGGATCGTTGAGTTTGGCGCAATGTTGAATAACAATTTAGGAACATATCTGAAGAAGCTACATGTTTTTTTATATGATTCATTGTATATTTCTATGTCGTTCTTTAGGTGATAGTATTAGCGGTCCAGAGAAAACAATTAATTTTCTAAAAAGAAAACTCATCATCTTGCCATGTAATAGCCGTTCAAATTTGTGTAGGTTATGATACGTATTTAAACTGCGTGGTAATAAGCTAGTTCCTTATAAGCATGAGCTTTATGAAGTAGGTTCCCTTCATGTGTTTCCCTAAGACAGTACTAGCCAAATTGGAAGGGTTATCTTTCGAAATTAGAAACACAACTTACCTGTGGATCATCCTGTGAGAATATAGCATCGAATGCAAACATCTTCGGAGCAGCAACACCAACTTTTCTATCTTCGGGTGCAGTGGTAGCGGCTGCAGCGTTTTCGCAAAGGCTTACTTGTTTCTTGCGCTTGTCCAGATTGAAGGTCTGAGTGCCTGATGTAAAAGGACCTTCTCCCGTGGCACCGACACGAAGCATCACTTTGACCTGAAAAGAAAGTAGAACTTATTTATTGTCTATTTTATTTATAAACGTCGCCTTAAAGTAAATTGTATAACGAATAATGTAGTTACTCGTATATGTGCAACTAACATTGGAAAAAATATTTTTCCTAATAACCAATTTTCAGAAGTTGCACAAAATTACTACGTTTTTGACCACCTTCGTGGTCGAGACGCTTGTACACCGGTTTTCATATTGTTATGATCTCTGATGTCTCGGGTTCGACCCCCGGCCGGGTCAATATAGGAAAACTAACTTTTTATATTGTCTCAGGTCTGGGTATTTGTGGTACCGTCGTTCGTTTTGATTTCCAAAACACAAGCGATTTAGTTACTTACTCTGGACCAGAGCAACGTCTTTATTTGATATTGTCTAATACTTTGATGTTATTATTGGTTCAATCAAAAAACCAAAATTTCGCCCGTTGAATTCCGTAGCGTCACTAAACGAAAGTGTTAACTTTCGGGAAATGGCCATTCAAGTTTCTAAATATAAACGTAAAATTGTATACCCGAGATTTTCGTTTAGTTAATGAATTGCTATCAACGCGCGATACGCAGTAATGTATTGTAGTTTTATTGCTCTCGTTATAAAGTTACAAATTAGTAATACAAAAAGTTTAAATTACCTTGAATTAAGTAGCTACTTTTTGAAATAAAGGTTTAGTATTTCCAAGATTTAGAGATGTAATTCCGACCTTTAGTTATAAATGAAACAAAGTAACGTTGATAGCGCGCTCAACGTTACACTTCACATTTAAATTCAACTACCACTCATGAAAGTTCAAAGTGTCAAGCTGAGTATGACGATGTTGACTGTGCTCATAACCTATCTCATCGTGAACAGACAAAGTTCTCTGTGAATATCCGTTTACACTTGTTTAGCGACTTCATGTTTACCTTTGGTAACAATGTATAAAATTAGGCATCAAAAATCGACTTTACTATTCTCCTTGTATTATTTTCATGATATTTTACATCAATGATTCTTCAGGCGAATAACATTATCAATCAAATGAACGTCATTTGTAGTTTTTGTCTGAGACTATATATGAAATTTATATTTTGTCAACCTGGTATCAAAGACACAAATAGTATGGCGGTGTGTAGTGCAGTTTTGGTTCCAATACTGACGTATGCAAGTGAATTTTGGATATAGCAGAAAAAACACGAGAATAGAGTGAATGTAATAGAAATGAGGTTCCTGAGAAAAATTCGTAAGGTACGGTATGAAACAGAGTGAAGCACACTATAATCCGTGAAAGATGCGATTTGAAAGAAGACTTAATGACAAAAATAAAGAAGGATATAACACAAAGAATAATTCCTTCAAGCAGATTAGACACGAACCAGTGTCTGTTGTCTAACCGTGGCTATATGATAGTAAAAACTTCAAAAAAACAGGGTATGTTGTTCTCAACATGGAGGACAACATACCCTATCCAGGAGGCTTGGGACATATAGCGAATGAAAATAATAATAGTAATAATAACGCGCACACACTCATAGCCCCGCACCAAGGTAACCCTATATAGCGGGTGTCATGGACAAACACATGGACAACCACAAATTGCACCCAAACTCACGAGATAAATAAATGTAGGGCATACAAACATTTCGAATCGAACCAGCATGGTAACCGTTCGGTCACGGGGACAATATTGGAGAAGGACGGACACGAAAAACGTTTTCAGATCAAGAGAATATTCTTAAAGAGCCTATAGTGCATAGTAAGAAGAATTAAATGGCATGTATGACACGATGGATGAAGAATATAAGTCAAGCAAGAGAGCAACCACAATGCTACCGCAATAGGAATCCATGGCAATGCCAAAGCTGCCGTCTTTTGTCTTATTACTAAAACTAAAGCTGCTTTTGAATGAATTCGTCCAGGGACGTACCTAGTCTGCCTCCATGCAGTAGTGAGACGATTACTGCGTTTCACTTTTGAAGTGTAAGGATGCTAGTGAAACTACAGGCACATGGAAATTGTCAAGTTTAGCAGCAGTGGCAGGGCTCCTAAGGACTTCGCGATTTAAAGCTCTGAGTGGCATCTGCATCTGTTACGGACAGGCGTGTAGCTTACCACCAGGCGCCCGAATATAACAAAGAGTCACATGCTATATGATTATTTTCTGATGTAATAGATTCGATTTCGTCATGGAATTTCAAGGCGAACTAATTCTTGTATTATGTGAATTTGTATGAAGCACATATTCGAAAAATGCATGTACCCAAATTTGCCTTTCCCGCACATCAAGACAGTTATTGTAATACCCAATGCATTTATGCATTATTGCCTTTAAGGGATCATTTGAATGTATCTTATCAGACTCTCGAGTGTAATAATCGTTAATGTTAATTTGATGTAGTTAATTAACATTATGTAATATTAGGTATGTTAATAACGAAGACGCATAGGTCTATATGCAATAATTATTGTAATTATAATGGTAATTTATTTAGGATAATTTGACATCAATGGATGAGCGGTGGCAGTCTAGTGGAAGAACAATTTCTTCAGAACCGAGAGATTGTTCGTTCGAATTTACCTATCACTTTAATGGGCGCAAGATGAGGATTCTCGGTAGGATCAGTGTAGGAAATGGATTTTTCTGAATTGGTTCTCGGCTGGTTGTTCTGGGTTAATACCCCGGAATCAATACCGTTACCTTAGTATTCATACTACAGGGAAATCCCTAATTTGAGATCAGGTAACTGGTGTGTCTCATTATTATCAGCCCGATGGCTGGTTTTTTTACAGATCGAAATAAAGTAAATGCAATATGATGTGTATCTCTGTTTTGAATGTCTTGTGATAACAGTCTATTTCATCTTCTTCCATCTGCATGAATTACAATTTGGCACTGAACGTTTAGTAACAATACCTCTTGCTAAGAAGATTCACAATTTGGTAAACTGATGTCAAAATGTTACATAACAGATACAAAGGCGTAATCATTTGGGAAAAAATAATTATTTGAAAACAATACAATATATCAAAATGCTACTCAAACATTTTACTGCCTCCTGATTGGTTAAAATATAAACGGTACTTGGCCAATCACGGACACTTCTAATCTCTTTGATATTTTATTTTGAAGCCTTTATTTGATAAACTTGTCAAGTCTCCTACCCGCATTGGTCCAGCGTGATGATTATAGCCTAAACCAATTAAGTTGACGATATTCATGGTAAATCAACTCGTTACATCGCAATGCTGTGGAATATAATGATTGGGATATAATATCCCACTGCGGTGGGATATTCAAACATTCTCTACCTCTACGGTCTTTAACAATCCCATTAATTTAAAGCAGAGTATTCAAATTCCATAAACATAGTATTAAAGCAACGCAATACATTTACGGGTACGCGAAAGCAGATGTTCCCAACATTAAGGAGCCATTTTGAGATGTAACACAAAGGGTGTGTATTGTTAGTGAAAGTGGATTTGGTGAAGGCTCTTGGTTCGTTTACCACTGATTTACAGTTCGCTCTTGTAGGAGAAATGTAGCTATGTTCTTTAAGTTCTGCTTTAGGGCAAATGTAATAAAAATCAATACTGGCAGTTAGATCATTTATGATTACAGTGTCACAGGATTATAATATGAGATTTCATATTATGATACCGTGACTCTAGTTATTTGTATGACACTTTATTTTTTAAATTAAACTATATATACCTGTATGTTGTTTGATCAAAATACCATCCTTGCTTTATTATAAATACTTGACGCAACTCACAAAAATTATTTACACAGTATGATTCAGAATGTGACCATTTTTGTTAAAATTTTGAAATATGGCACATCTGTGTCACAAAATTATCTGACACAATATTTATTTACTTATAACTTTTTATAAAGGTTGTGACAAACAGATGTAGTCGTAGTTTGGGATATAACAGTGTAAAAAAATTTTTTTTACATGCTCTACTACGACGACTACGTCAGCTAGAAAGGAGTGCATTTTTTAAATTTCTTTTTGCTTTCACCTATACTACTAAGTACGTATTTCTCATCCTCACCTAGCACTGAACATAATGAACAAAACCGTACAGCAAAAGTACAAAGCAATTAGTTATAAATTAATTACACACTAGACGCCAACTCGCGGGGAATAAAGCTAAAATTGGAATAGTTCAGTTTAATTTTAGAGAGACACCTGACAGGTGCGGTTGCATTACAGTGAGATTAGAAGAGGGATTGCGGATTCGTAATTTGATGTTTTTCGGGTGTATCATTGCGTTGAAGGTCTTGAAATTTTTTCCATGACAAACAATGGAGAGCGAAGATTTTATTAGATTTTTGTTTTCTTTTTTGAGAATTTAATTCAACAGTTGACGCTTGCCGGCTGATATTGAAGGATAAGGACAGGTTCTTAAGTTTTCGCGATATCTACAAATTGGAGATGAAACTATTTTCCGGATCTAAAGGTTGTTTTTTGAAACAAACCAACGATTTGGAGTCTTTACGGGTCCCATGGTCACAGACGCCATACGCATTTTAGATCCGAAAAAATAATGTCATTTCCAATTGAAGAAACAGATTCTATTTATTAAAAGTATATTTTTGAATTAATGTTGTTTTACATTAGTCTTTTTTATAATACCAAGTGACGGGACGAACACGCAGTGCGCCTGGTGGTAGGCGACACACCTATCCATAACAGTTGCAGTGCCACTCAGCGCTTTAGCTCGGAAAGATTAAGATCTTTGGGGCACTGCCACTGCGTCCGTCACTCTGAGACAAGTTGACAAATCCCATGTGCCTGTAATTTCATAAGCATCCTTACCCTTCCAAACCGGAACAGTAATGCCCAAATTAATGCTTGGCGGCAGATATAGGTAAGGTGGCAGTACTTCTATGGACAGACTCTTGCATAAGGAGTTCTAATGCATTCACACTAGTTGTCTGCAGCTGAGACGTCACTCAGGTGTCACGATTCAGCTGTATCAATGGGTTGCTTGTTCATATCCGGTTC